GGTCTTTTACTAAATCAAAAGCTTATATAAAGCTCCCTAATATGTACTTTTCAGCAGCATATACTAGAACTTTATGTAATTTGAAGATGAAGTGATTATAAAGCGTAGTTGCGAACGAGTAGTCTTTCTAGTCTTTCCTCTAAAAAATATATAGATTTTGACAACTAAATACACTTTTTGGTTTGAGAGCTTTAAACTATTGCACAAGGACGGTCTGATAGGTACTTAACGTAGAAGAGGAAAGTTTTTGAAAAATGGCGATTTATTTCTTTGTAGCTCCATAGACTTGACTCAATGAAATGAAGTGAAAACTACATTTTCTGGAAGTCTGCAAAGTTGGCTTCCATAACGGCCTCGACCTCCTTGTTCGACTCTAGTCTCTGCCTAGTGAGTGACTATTCCAAGTTTGCAGCAAACAGTATTTCGTAATATTTTTCAACCAATTTAGTCGTGGCGACGGTAAAACTGTGAGCCGGTGGTATGTTATGATAAAAAAGTACTCTTAGTTTTAATAAACGATCAAATCGGCACATTAATTCGACTTAGTAGAGCCCTGTGACTGTTTTCTCCTTCTCCAGGCCTCTTTCTCCGAGTTTATATAGTGAATCTTAGAAAACTGAAAACTTAGAATCTTAGTTCCACCAGGTTAAGTCCACTGCTTCAACTGTCTCTTGGTCTCTGGTGATCATCACCTAGGCAGCAGAAGTTCGCTATTGTGACTGTTCCTTGATCTCTTGTAGACCTCACCTTTCCGGCCGATGGGAGAGTCGTCAACTTCTTCGAGCAGGACCGCCGGATAAAGTCCACTGTTTCATCTATTCCTTTATGTGTATAAGTGAATTATTGTTTCGTTGACGGTCACGAAACGAAGCGGAATCATCTCCGAAATGCGCTTAAACAGTATCAAACACTGTTGGAAACTAGCTTTTTTTCCTTTCCTGTCTACTTTTATGCCTACACATGTATTGAAGCCGGAATCCACATCAAGCAAAACGCGCTGACAGGCACTAAGTATAAATGTCAAACAACGTTTTAGCCGCTTAACATGAATTTGTGATTTAAATGCCCAAAAGGATTTGGCATCGCACGCATCAATGTAACGGCAATCAAGGATTTGCACACACACACACACACGTACATCAAACAGCCATTATAGCGACAGATGGAAGCTATGAAATTTAGCTATAGGAATTCACATATATGTGTGTGTGTGTATATGTAGATATGTAAGTATGTATGCGCTACTGTATGTGTGCGTGTGTGAGCTATCAGTTTGTGTCTGCGAAATACAAGGATTTGATGATGTCGCTGCTGTCAATGATAAACAAAACCAGATGATAGCCTATTTCGTGGGACTCACTTGGCGTACGCCTATCTATGTTTGTACACATGTATATATGTATGTATGTGTAAGTTTGCCTGTTGAATTGATTGTAAGCATAGCATTAGGACATTTGAAACGGCCCATTTGTTGTGTACGCTTTGAATTGATTTCGCAACACATTTGCCACTCGCTACGATTTGGATGTAAACATACGCGTACTTACAGACATACACACGCATGTTAGATGAGCAAACCACTAAATACATATGTACATATGCGCAAACACTCGGTGTATGCTTCTCAATGTAGCTTCAATGGACTTTCCGACGCTTTGACTTGACAGCAGCTACAAGAGTGCTGTACACCAAAGAGGTGGCTGCATAAATAAGTGTGTGTAAAAAGACTGGAATGACTTCTGTATGCATACAGACGCATACCCTCTTAGAAAACTGGAGTGATTCAGCTGTGAAAATACTATTATTTCAAAGTTAAGTACACTATTCTTAGCTAACCTTCCAACTGTCTAGAAAAAAAAGTTTAACTGGTCCATTGTGAACTAGTTAGTAGCTAGTTATATTAAATATTGTTATGAATATTATAACCTTTCATCTGATTCTTTCAAAAAAATTCAAAGTGGATCATTGTGAACTAGTAAGTAACTAGTTGTGTAAAAAAAAACTTTCAGTATAGCTCACCGAAACAATATTTTTAGACATACTTCTAAGAATTAATTCCAAAAAAAAATTTATTTAACTTACCACATAAAGCTATACTTTAGAATTATAAGAAACAATAATTTGACTAAATAACACTATTTCGAAGTTAAACTTTAGTTAAATGCTTGTCCGAACTTTTGCTCAAATTCATGATGTGTTATCACGCAAATAAGGAGACCTACATATGTATTTGTAACTCCTTCGAGTTGCTGGTACTTTTTATGAGAAGTTCGAATTCCTTTAAATATATATTTTTTTTTTTTGCATTACTCGTAAACTGGGATCCAACCGAAGACTTGTAGAGTGGTTGTGCGTAGCTCTAGCCAATATTCTGCAATGATCTTATAAATATGACATACACTAACAACATTTGCTAGAGTTTTTTTAACGTTTATAGACAAACCTTCTATTTTTATAAATTTGTCGAAGAATTCTAAAAAAAAAAATTCGCACTTTGGCAAAAAAAGCCTCGAGTACTAAAAACTGGAAAAAGAGAATAATTCTTTGCTTCTATAAGCAGCTTGAGTTGTCTAGTCAGACTTAAACCATGATATACAAGTTTTCGAAAGTTTTCCAAGCTAATAAGATGTTTACATAAATCACTTCGGCATCAGCTGTTACAATAATTTTCGTCTATACGTCTTTCAGATGCTTACTAAGCCAATCCAAAGCGCCCAAAATCATATATTTTGCAAATAATTCCTACAGGGTACTTTGTCAACGGCTATTGCAATATAAACCGTTATGTACGTATGCACATTTAAGAAACGCCTCAGCATTGAGTTGTCATTACGTTGACAAGATGATAAATGTTAGCGATTGTTTAGCGGCCACATCAGCTGAATCACGCCAAAGAGCGGGAGAGAGTAAAGACAGGTGACTGGAGTGAAGTGGGCCACCAACATTAGCATATATGTATATATCTACTTAGTAATTCATACAAATCGCCTAAATCAATTGAATGCCAGTCTATCTTATGGCGCTGTTGTCCTTGCGCTGCTTTGACTTTAACGAAAGCTAATGGCGGGTATTGCGGGCAGACGGCTAACAGCTGGTCGAACAAATAATACACTAGCAAGAATGTTGGTGTGTATATACAATACATCTACATATAAAGTATTCTATACATGTATGTGATGTACCTATATAGATAGGTATGTAGGCATGTATGGATGTATCTATGGCATGTAGAGTTGCTGTACTCCTGATTGCCTGTATTTGTTTGAATGAGTGGACGTTTTTGGTGTTGATTGCACGATTTTGTATTTGAGGAATCCACCGAATATTGCAACTGTGTCACAACTGTGAATTAACAAGTCTAGTATCTCCTTCTTTTCCCCATCATATCAGTCACGAAAATATATACATACGCACAAACATGCATAGATAAAAGTGTCAATCAGACTTTTGTGGTTTGTAGACTACAAAATTTCGTTTCACTTATTGGCTGCTTTGTTGTTGATTTTGATTATTATTTTCTAGGCAGTTTGGCCACAGACAAATTAAGCCCTGCTGTATTTATATTCAATTTTGGAATTGAGGTGGAAATTAGTTGATGTTTATGAATTTAGATATCCGTATGTACATATGTATAAAGGGCATACAAACATTAGCTCATAAGCAATAGCCCTTTTTGATAAGCCGATAATGCATGTCTGACTACATTTGCTATGCACTTTGACCTTCAAATGTCTACATAATTACCGACGCCTGTCAGTAGAAATCAAAGTTTAATGGGAATGAGAATCAGAAGCGTTGTATTAACACGAAGATAAAGCTCTTAAATTTATAAAAAGATCTACGTTTATCTGAATATGTATTCTTGAAAGTCTTCTCGGCTGTAATTTGTACAGTTAAAGTTGTCCAAAACTGTTAAAAGGTTATATCCACTTGTGAATTGTAAAATATCGGTTTTTCGCATATATATCGAGTTTATATATATTTGACAATATTATCTGAAAATTTAAAGTTGATACGGCGAATCGTTTAGAAGATATGAGCGTATTTGTAAAAAAAAAATTTAAACACGTTTTTCTCGAAATACTGTTTTCAGCATCATTGAAGAAATATCTTCGAAATGGCTGCACCGATCGACTTGAAAATTTCACACGGCCTTCTGCGTTATAATTTTCAGATAATGATCGAAGTAATAAGGCTTAAGTAATATTGACTTTTTAAGCGAGTCTGATGTGTAAATTATTTCACAAAAAACGACTTTTCTTTGGGAAGCCGCCATTTTGTCAAAAATCTAAATTTTGACTAGTCCTCCGATTGTCACTTGTATTCATTCATTTAATTAATAAATCTTTATGATTTTTGGATTTTAGGAACAATTTTACGATGAATTCAATCTTCCTCACCGCCAGACACCTTTTGAAAGGGGGAACAACCAGTAGCATGTTTTACAAGTGCCTTTATAATCTTTGGTGGTATTTTAAATACATCTAGTAATTTGTACCATGCCCCGAAGCATTAAAGTCTTATACCTACGAGCAGATAACAAAACCAGCTTTAAAACCAAGTCTGAATCTATAATATTACTAGTGTAAAACTGGGACTTCTCATCGAGGAACTCAAAATTTTTGCGGATTTAACAAAAAACCATATTTCTAGTGGAACCACACTATGTGTCGAAGGGAAATTATTATTATTGTTTTCATGTAGCGACAGGCTATGTCGGTCTAAAATAATTTCCTTACACATATAAAATTTTTAAATAATATCCCTACTCGGAGAGAGTTGTAAGCATACTTAACCCAATTTATTTATCTCCCTTTTAATATCTTACCGATGAATAATTTTAATCATATGCCTCAATTCTTCTTCTTGATTGTTCCCACCTGTAACGGCCTATGCAATTTTTAATCAACCACTGCTGTTTTATTATAATTAGAAATTAATCACATCAAAGCAAATCTGATTTTTCTTAATAACTATTTACACAATTCGATCATTTACAGCTACGGGCATAAATGTGGCAAAGACAGGGCAGCCAAAGTGAAATGTGGCACTCAAAGAGTGGCGAGTCAATGTGTCAATCAGTAAAACCAAAGCGAAAATATGTATAAAAACAGCTTCAACAAAAACAACAACTGCATAAATAAAGTTCTTAAATCGCCGTTAAATTTACAGTTGTCTATAAAGCCAATAACCGCTGAACTCTTTGAAGTGTTGCGGTAAGTACACAATTATTTATGTATGAACCTATTTTCCTACCCTTGAGTACGTGTAGTAAATAAGTTTGGGCAGAGAGTATAGAAAGAGGGTTATGGTATGAATTTTTAATTACCTGAATATGAACGTTAAAAGGCAATAGAGTATAAATGCAATGTGACTAGCTAATGAAAGTCCAGGGAATTGTGAATGACTTAAACAAACATTTCTAACGGAAGTTATTTACAAACATATGTATGTACAGACATATACTTAAATATATATGTAAGTATAAAAATATGTTTTCACAAACACGAAAATCTGTATTATTGCTGAAAATTCAATACTCTGGAAAATAAATATTTGTGGCATTGGCTAAAAAAGGACTAAGAATTGTTGCTGATCCATTTGAGTTAGCTTTTTAATACTTTCTTGCTACATATTGTTTAATATATTTCGACGCTGTATTAAATATTGCCAAGCCACAGCTTTTTATGAAGCTAATGTATATCCTAACCACAAATTTATTCAATTCGAAAATATTATGAAGCGAACTCATCATGAAGTTCATTAAATCACCATATGAGAAACTAGAACAACTAGTTACTATTCAAGTACAGCATAGTCAGAACCGATTCTAGCTAAGAGAAAAGTGATACAACCCAGATCCCAACGAATAAGCTCAACTCAGCAAATAATTGCAATAACGTCCCTTGCATGGATATTTATACATTAATGCTAATGTAACACTTACATTACATCGTTCTCGTTTGTAATTCCTGTTCAAGACCTCTCACGAATATAGAGGACTAGAGTATAGTTGCTCTTTCTCTGACGGGTTCATATTTCAAGCAGTGTTTCAAAAAGCATTCGCCGACATGTAGGCAGTGATGAATATGTATTCTTAAAAGTCCTTTCGGCTGTAATTTGCACAGTTAAAATTATCCAAAAATATTATATCCACTTGTGAATCTTAAAATATCGATATATATCGAATGTATATATATTTTAGAATATTATCTGAAAATTTGAAGTTGATTCGGCGAATCGTTTTGGAGATATGAGCGTATTTTTAAAAAAATTTCTAACCTACGTGCGGTGTAATCGGCTGCCTAAACTTTTTTCTCGAAACACTGTTTTCAGAGTCGTTGAAGAAAACGAAACGGCTCCACCGATCGACTTGAAAATTTCACACGAGCTACACGAGCTTCTCCAAAGAAAAAATGAAACTAGATTCCGTAGATATTTTTATGTGTCTCATTTTTTCGAGATACATATTAATATACAATATTATCCTAAGACAACCAATTTAATCTTACCTATCCCAACTATTATTAACCGACTTGGAATCACCAGTTCTTTCCTCAGTGTGTTTTGAACTCTGCTCTCTTCGAAAAGCAAAAAGATATTTTTGAAAGCAATGACGAAGCTCACTAGCTACATTCAAATCATTTACATGAGTTGTTTGTTCGATTCGGCACTCTAAAAGCACAGACTGAAAGGATGAGAACTATTATCAAAGGAAATACAATTTTATTGCTGTTATAATGTTCTAACTTGTCAAGACAAGTTTACAGTTATTTGCAGATTATTTAGAAGTAGTTAATAAAATTTATGGAACTTAAATAACTTTAGAAAAATGGTGTATGCTTTGACTACCACTGAGAATATTGAGATTGGGTTTAAGTAAGTTAAGTAAGTTCTTCGTTCTTTATCTTGATTTCAATCGATAAGTATGTAGTCAGCTACAAATATTATATAGTAGTTCGATATGAACGTTTACCATACAAGAACTTGATTTTGATCAGTCGGTTTGTATGGCCTCTATATGCTATAGTGATTCGTCATCGGCGCTTCCGACATATGAGCAGTTTCTTGAGGTGAAATGAACGTGTGCTTAATTTCAAATCCATATCTCAAAAACTGACAGACAAATTTTGCGTGTATAAAAACGAACATGGCTTAATCGACTGAGCCGATCATTTATATACATATATGTATGTATGTACTTTATAGGGTTCTTGACGCTTCTTCCTAAGTGTTACAAACTTAATAGCAAACCTAATATACCCTGCTCAGGGTATAAAATTAATTGCAATAAGGGTGAAATCATATCGATCTAAAAAACTCCGCTGGCCTGTCCATTAGAACAACAAACCGTTGCAATGTTTTCGCAGATGTTTGCGTTCACAGATTTAATGATGTTTTTCTTGTTATTGTTATTGTTTTGCTACCTTTTTTCATTAATATTACGCAATGTCATGCGAATAATTTGTTATTGTTAACGCAAAAGGTAAACCCTTGCAATGCAATGGCAAGGAGATATCCATATGTAAAAGCCGATATATACATATATATGTACATACAAATATACATATATGTATGTATTTATATGTGTTATTGTAAGCACGAATTTGTTAACCAATCGAAACGTTAAACAAAACACATCAAACTATTAGTTTGTTTATGTATAAACAAACCTCAATTCAGTTCACTTCTTCTTCGTTTTTTTTTTTTGTTGCTGTATTTATTTGTTTACTCTTGGCTAGACCGATATTTGCAAAAAACAAAATACTGAGCCCACCAGATAGCGGGGAACGTGCGCAACGTGCACCGATAAGCGCGGAAAAGGGTGACTTTTCTTAATAGAAACAATATTTAGAAAATGTTTACAACGAGAACTTCAGTCGAACAACATTGATTGGCGCAACTTGAGTTAAGGTGAAGACGCTGGCACATGTTGTTCTGCACCGGAAAGATTGCTGGTGAATTCAAAGTTCATTCAATGTCAGAAAAGTTAGATAAATAATAATACAAATTGTGAGTGTTAATCTTGCGAGTTATTTTAGGGGATTCCCTTATCATTTTTGGAATGCTGAACAGATATGCAGAGAATACAAATGAATTTAGACTATACGAAAGTATTTCCGAACCTACAGAATGCGCTAAAGTATTGTCAGAACAAAATTAAGCGACGCAACAGAAATTGGAATTAAATTAAATAGTTAAAATTTTTCCGATAACTGAGTTTGAAGATACCACAGATCGTATTTCCCAATAATACTTGGTCGTGGTTATCTCAATCTCTCTTCATAGCACATTTTAAACCCCTTTTATTAGTAGTAAATCAATCACAATAGACTAACATCTACAAGCTGGCTTATGCAGTTTATCCCCGCACCAACAGCTTACTTTTTTATACAAGACATTTTTATATTATGATCCGATAATTTCAATTTATCAAGAATGCTTTATGCTTTTATACAATTTAAATGCGTTTATTTCTAACTCAATTTTTTAAACATACAAAATTTATAACTTTTTCACAAGTATCATCGTCCCATTTCAAACTACTTGAAAATAATTTTATGCAATGTTGTCGTTTTTTGTAATTGTCCGGTTGACCCTTTGCCCAATAGGTGTATACAAGTGTTGGTCCATCAAGATTCCAACGCCAAGTTTTCATATTGCCTAATTTATTGCCAGCTGTCCAGAAGGGAAATTTTCTCAAATCTACAAAAAACAACAATTAAGTACTACGCAAGAAAAAATTACAATCGTATAGCTAACCGTATTTGGTAAGGTAACTTTCGAATTCCTCTCTGATTTCTTCGGAATCCAGAACGATGAGTTTCCAATTTCTCTCCAGGCAGTAAGCAGTTGCGCCAAACCAATTCAGCTGAAATTTATATTAACGTGGTATAGTATGCTCATATTCTAGGTATGTATGTATAAAAATGGCTTTTCTTACCTTCTCGGTAGCTAAGTGAAATTTCGGATGGTTATAAGCGTTTGGAGCCTCCGCTAAAAAAAAAATTAATAAAACTTACAATATGATATATTCAATAATTTGAAAATCTAAAGACCTTTTGCTGATTTTGTAGTCGCTACTTTATATAACGTAGAAAATCGGTAAAGGCAAAACTCTTAGACGAAAATCGATGCTGGGTCACAAGATTGCAATCGGCTTATCTGTTAGGAACTCTCTATAACAGATAATTATAAATTTCCTGCTGTACTTGAGCCCTTCTTTGGCTCAAAGCTAGTCTATACAAAAGAGTCTGAAAACACAAGTTGATTCAGGTTACAAGGTCTACCTTTCTATAGCTGTAGGGGCTCAAACGAGCTATTATCCGCTCGAAAGCCACGCCGTAACGCTCTCGCCTTTAGTTTTTCAAGATCAAGATTAAATACTTTTGCTCTCACAACTTTAATCATCCAGTTGAATTTGTGAAAATGTAAATAAAATATCTAAGCGAATTGGTGATAGGTTCGAACTCAGAGTCTTTGTTCTGGCTTCACAAAGAACTGTCAGCCAGAGATCCTAATCTAACCTAATTGCCGCTCTATTAGAAAACTCCTATCATATGATATAGACTTATTTAGTGGCGCCTTCGCCAACTTTTGAGAATAATAAAAATGGGTTCCACCATTCGAAGCTATCTAAAATTTGGTTTTTAATCATGCTTTGAATGTGGAGAACAGACAATCTTAACAACACTATTTTCGGGCGAGCCGAAGAAAGTTACTTTTTTCGTATGCACAAAGTTTTCCCCAAACTCGAGATCATATTTATATACATATATTATATATTGCATAACAAACTTGAACTTACTGGTAGTTGTACTTGTACTTGAACTCGTAAAACCATTGCTCACCGGTGGACCAATTAGTTTCGCCATCAACTGGTTACTTCCGACAACCAAGAATAGTACGGTGAACAGCACAAGCTTCGTTGATTGCAACATTTTTGCGAAGTGTTTTAAAACTAATAAAAGTTGACAAAAATCTTCCTTTTATATGGCTGAATTTGTGCGAATTTCTTCGTTTGATTTGACATATATTTTTAATTAGAGCATAACTTGTTCATTTCGTATAAACGCAGATAAAGATGATTCGGAACTTTTATTTTCTTTTTGGGCTTGTGAACTTAATTGGAATTGTCTATATATTTTTATCATATATTTAAGTCACTTTTCAAAGTCAAATGCTGTAAGTTGTAAGCTTTACGTGAAGCGTTATATAGTTTTTCCTACGTTCTACGAAAAGCTGGGAATTATTACTTCTGCTTTCATTTCACGCCAATATCTTCATTAGTGTTTGAAAGAAACTGATGTAGTTTCAAATGTTAGCGTAGGCATGGTTCTAGTTCGATTTCGTCCAATGGAAAATTATAACATAAGATCGCTTGAACTTAGTCAAGTTAGCCGGCGGTGCCATTCCCGTTATCTAATTTTTCAGCCGATTAACAAGCAAAACTAAGATATTATTTCTACCAGGATCCAGGTATCAAAGAAGGTGAAGCTATGGACCGAGAGAGTTTAAGTTAGTGGTCAAGCGGGCTAACGAAATTTTTAGCTCAGGATCTAGGGAGGTCATGCTAAGGATCACGCTAGCTCATGGTAGGTAAAGCTAGGGCCCATTTTTTTATACATAATATACGAGGTGGGTTCAAAATGTAAGAGGAATTTTCGTTTTTTCGAAAATAAAAATTATCTCTCTACATTATTTTTCTCACCTTTGATATTATGCACACTCAACCTAATTTTATCTGGCGCTATTCTTTAGAGAATTGAAACACTTTTAATATTTTTAAAATTGCCATTATATCTCAGATGGAGGAAAACATTTCTCTAAACGAAGACTTAACAGACTCGCACTAACAACAGGTTTTCTTTAAGTTCCACACCACCAATTACAGTTCAACCGAACCTGATAAGTTCAGCAGTCGAAAATGGCGGGATACAAGACAGGAAGCTTTTAGTTCTGACTGCTATCCAGTGTCTTGGAGCGATCAGAAAGGTAATTTCAAAGAGAAACTAATATATGAAGTATTTCAAGAAGCACACAGAAAACGGAAGCTTTGCAGACCCCATAAAGTATATATATACATAAATAATTAGTGTGACGAGCTGAGTCGATTAAGCCATGTCCGTCTGTCTGTCTATATGCGAACTAGTCCATCAGTTTTTAAGATATCAATCTAAAATGTGTTCCACATTGTTTTCTCTCCGAGAAGCTTTTTGTAAATTGTTTTTATATCACAAGATATCTTCTCAAAATTAGGCACAGATTATTATCCAAAGCAACGCTACAATGTGCGAGCATATTGTTCAGATCAAAACACTATAGCATATAGCTACCATACGAACTTAAACTAAGATAAAAAACTTTTTATATCCTTTTATTTTTTAAGAAATGCTCCAGTGAAGGGTATTATAGCTTCGGTGCAACCGAAATTTACGTTTTTTTTTTGTTTTTTTTTTTTGGTTCTTTGTTTTCTATCTTCATCTTTTGACTCTCCGAGCATATCTGTACTTTCATTTCGAACGGAGCTAGTGTCTGATTCTAGTTTAGATGGCTTCTAGTGACATAACCCTTCACGGATCCCAACTAAATCCCCAACTGCAGTCTTTCTAGAGTTTCTCAGCGAGTATTAAGCTAATTGCCTACAAAATTACAGTTATTTGAGTGTGGCATTACCGAAATCTATTGGCAGCCAAGAAATTTACAAGTCAAATTTGGCAATAGTAAAGACACTCTCTCCTCTATTGACTAGCGAGTGAAAATCTATATATATGTATGTGTGTGCGTATGTAAAACTAGCTGTCGGCGACATCATTTGCAGAAACGCATTGTGGCAAAAGTTTTCCCATTCAATACTGTGCTGACTACTTTGTTTGTATACATGTGTGTGTGTGTGTGTGTGTGACAATTTAGCTGGAAAATCGTTTTGCCGCAATTGCTTGTCGCAATGCTTTTCACTTAAGGTACGCACACACATGCAAGCAATCAGGCGAAAAATGCCGCATTTTATTAGCGAAACTTTTATTCAATATATTTATGTATGTATTTGTAATTGTATTTGGCATTGTTGTTGCTCTTGCGGCTGTTTTTTCTTATTCTTGTTGTCATTGCACGCCAATGTTGTAATTGAATTTCGCTTAGTCGCCACACAAACACACACACACTTGCACAAATTGATGCCATATGGCAGCATGTCACTCACATATGCTTTCGCACGCTTATCCTTCGAACTGGAGAGTAGTGTGTTTGTTGTAACAAATCTTTGCAATTGGAAAAGTAATCTTAAAGTAGTTGGCAACGCGACGTGCTCATATGTTTTCGCCGGCCGGTGGAATGCATAAAGTTCGCGTTGTTTGTTGTTGTTGTTGTTATTATTGTGCTTTCTTTGAACTTCACATGTAGGTATGTGCAAGAAGTTGGTGAGAGCGCAATGTTGCCACTTGTATGCAAGTGGAAAGGCGTTCTTTGGCAATAAATCTGCAGGAAAAGCATGGAGGTGTGGTGAATTTTTTAAGTGTCTCCAGCGCCTCAGCCGATTGGGGTTAAGTGGTTTGCAGTACGCATACACACAAACTATACCCAGCACACGGAATAAAAAAAACAACAACAACTTTACTTAGATAGCACTTTCACTAAGTTTTTCTAGTGGAGCTTCTCACATCTCTTTGCTACTTCGCTTTCCCCAATGCATTATTGTTTCCTCTCTTTATGTTTTTTTTTTTATTATTTCTTGTTATCTGCGTCGTCTGCGGTCGTTCTACATCGTTGAATTGTTGTCATTGGCATATGCAATGCGAGCCAAATGCAATCGAGCATTAAATTGCCAGGGCAGGGCGTATGAGTAACCAAAGAAAAAAGAATAAAACATTTTCGTCGCGTTCTCTCCTTATCTCTTGCTCACTCTCTATTGCTTTTATTCTTGGTTAAATCGCAAAAAATCGTTCTGCCGACAGTTCAATTTGCAGATTAGTTAGCGGAACTGAGTGGCGGTTTCATTATGGATAATATGATGGGAAAAGTCTTCTCTTTTGCTTGTTGAGAGACTCAATGATCTCGTAGTGGACGTTGGCAACAATGCCAATTCATGGGCTACTGTACAGATGACAGTCGAAGTACCACTAAAAATCCCGTAAAAAAAAGTGACGATTACAAGTTAAAACATAATTAAAGGATTCTGAGGTAATGTTTCAATACCAACTATTTATCTATTCAGATCTTTTGTTAACTTTAAGCGCGGTCCAGGTTATTTACATTTAGCAAGGTCAACAATTAATTTTGTGGTCAATGTCCCTTTTATTTTCATTTAGCGAAGTCAACAACCCTTCCAGAATCAATGACTTTCGGTAAAGTTAATGACTCCTTTGTTTACATTTAGCGAGGTCAAACCCTTCTCGAGTTCAATAACCTTTTGTGAGGTAAATTACCCCTTTTTTAATATTTAGCAAGGTTAACAACCCTTCTCGAGGTCAATGACCTTTTTTTACATTTATCGAGGTCAACAACCATTTTTGAGTTCAGTAATCTTTATTGAGGTCAATCCGAGACGCCAACGCTCGTATTGTTAGAATGCGATGCTGTTGCAAGAAGAAGGCTGACGCATCTAGGAGTCATGCAGCCGAAGCAAAGTCACATTAAATCCTTCAATCTTTCAAGCATTATACATTTCCAAAAGACTCTAGAATTAAACGAAACTATGTTAAAGAAGCATGTGACAAAATAGATCTATGTTCGCGCTGCATATCCTCCAAATTTCTTTTTTTTTAAAACAGCGAGTTTTCATTCACTCAATAATTTCACTTAAGGAGACTAGAGACTAAGCGAAATTCACTTAAGACACAGATTAATACCAAGTGGGCTCTAGGTTAAATTAAGCTGTTCGGAGTACACACGATTTTGCCAACGAACACTACTAACACACCCCTATGAGGCATGAAGGTTTTTCCATCTAAAGCAACATTTCTTGAGGCTCCAATACTTTCACACTTAAAACATAAAATGATTTTCTTAAGTAGCTGGTCGTAGGAGCAAGGATGATCTCAATATGAACACAATACAATAAATTACAATAGACTAAAAAATCGTAACGGTCAATTTAGTCTCAAAAGGTCAGTGCTGATGTTTTGCATAGCAAATAGTTAAATATTTAGCCCTACTGCCAATTTATGCAGATACTGGTTCCTTATGCTGTTATTCCGCTTTTCCAAAGCACTCATCCTTACACCCGAACTGTGTAAGTATGTATGTGTATATATTGTACTCCATTGAAGCAGCTGCGTGAAATGAGAATGAATGAGCCATTGTGCTCGCATCATTTGTTGTCCGAAAAGTCATCTCGATTGATGGCAGATAAAATGTGCAATTTTGGAAAATAAAATAAATATAAAATTGAAAAACTTGAACAATGAAGAAATTCAACTTTGGTACTTAGAGGATGAAACAACTTTTTTTTATAGATAAGTAACAGCTGGTGAAATCAAGTATGTAAAACGATATAAAATAAATCAAAGTGATAAAGGGGCAAAATGGTTTGAAACCAATTTATAAAAGCGAGTAAATGATAAAACTCGCGCACTCTCTTATTTACTCTACACACTTTAACTTCCGTCTTTCTTTGGTATGATCTCGATTTGTCCATACTATTTTATGACAAAGAGAGCGTAAATCTGACTCTAAAGCTTACTTTCCCTACACTCATTCTCTATGATAGAAATAATATATCTAGGATAGTATTTTAATAATAAAATTATTTATTGAACAATAATAGGACAAATCGCATGTTCGGTCTTCCAAAAATTCGTTTATAAAAGAAGCCTGTGGGTTATCAAGTGCTGATGTCGGAAGTCTTAACATTCCTTTAGTAACTATTGGCTTACCATATGTAAGAAAAGTCATTGCTAGGAGTCTTGTCGGACTTCAATAATATTTTCGGGAATGTAGGTTTTATATTATGTAAAAAACAACCCGTCGAAAAGTTACATCTCAGATAGACTCTGTATACTGTATATGGTCAAACAAGTTAGGTAAAAACTAACTAACGGCGACATGATTTCACCTAAATTATTAAGGTCCCACGTAAAAGCTTTAGCATCATATGAAGGACTACATGATAATTAGAAGATTTTCTGATTATTACTTTGTCCGTTTATCTAGCCATCATATGTTTAATTATCTGACCATCATGCATTCCAATATGTGATTATCACATGAATGGCATTCTAAATCACCTTATGATACTTTATCTGACCGTATTCTAAATCACGATACGATAGTTTAAGTGATTGTCTGTTATTACAAATATGCTTCAGCAAATAATCACATGATATCTTTTCTAACCATAATTAGTACGATTATTTGAGCTTCATGTTTCTTATTATGTGATCATCACATGTTCGCTTTTCTAAATCATCATATAATAACTCATCTAATGATCATTAGCTAAATTACCACATCATGTTCCAGACCTTTAGAAACTGCTAGTTTTGCGCCACCTATACAGCAATAGCAAGGACAGGTTTTGCCCATTTAAATACATAAACCGTACCTACTCTCCATTTATAATAAACAAAGTCACAAACCCTCGCAGCTTACCTCACATCCGTATTTGCAATAAAATTATGGTAGAAATTTTTCAAATCACCACATGTTGAATTAGCGGTTGTTTTTATCACTCACTCATCTTTTGTTTTGTTGACGTTCTGTTTTTAGCATGTCGCCAAACCATTTTCGTAAATATTTACGAAACAGATTTAAGTAATTAACAACGAAGGGATGAAAGAGTAAATAAATAAAAAATCTAACAGAGTTGCTTTGCTTTATTATATTTAACTTGAGACATTTTGGATGTCGAACTTCTAAATTCTATCTACATCTGTAGAACTGTATTAGCAAATATGATAAAAGAATATAAAGCATTATTTAAAAGTCTTTGGAGAGCCAATAAGTTGAAATAACTACAAAAATATGAAAACTTTAATTTTTATTCAAAAAGCTTATACAAAAAGCAATGTAAATTTAATTCAAATATTAGTTGTATAAATCATTATTTTTTATATAATGCATAAAAATGTCAGCTGCGCTCTGTTGCTAACAGCTGCTTCGCCAATTGGATATTTCACGCAAACACTAATTTCCTAACACTTAACGCCGCATCTGGCAGCACTGTAAAATGTCAGCAATTGAAAAACACAGAAAAATTTTGTCAGAAACGAGAAGAATTTCAACGCGTTAAGAAGTGTATGCGGTTTAATTAAAATATTTTTTATATTTAATATAATAAATAGTGAAAACAAGCTATATTGAAGTGCAATTCGTGTAAGTAACAATGTCAAATGTGCATGTACAAACATGCAAGGCGGTGTGGTAGAAAGTGCGTGTGTGTGATTTGGGCTGGTAAAAAATTCGTGCAAATGCAATCACAGCTGTGCGAAATCTTATGAAATTTTGAAAATTCAATAAGACGCGGCGCCGCTCGTCCATTGAGCAGCAAGTGCCTCAACAACGCATCACATTCCTCCTTCGGGAACCTAAGCTAAGTGGGAACCTATAATAAATATTTTTGTGATTGCGATAACAATGGCAGAAGTCTAATAAAGTATAATGTGCTGCGCTGGGAGCAATATGCATGAAAATAATAATAAAGACAAAACAAAAACAAAATTAATAAATAAACGCCAAAGAAAGCCGCTGCGAAGCCTAAAGAAAGTGAAAAGTGAATGTGCACAAAAACAATTTGTTTGGAAGTACAAAAAAACATAAACTCACATTCAAGTGAAATGAAAACAAAGCCGCGCATAAATAAATTTTGTTAGCTAGAGAAATGCGTAGTTTGTTAAATTGAAAATTAAATATATAATACAATTTGCTGATTTATTACGTTGAATATAGCAAATTTCGTTTTAATTAGTTATCAACATTTTTGCCAATTAAATAACTATTTTGTGCCCTAAATTTTTCAAAAGCATATTTTTTTTTATTATATTTTTTCCAGGCGCTTTTTGATCGCTGTTCGACCCACCCACCTGCTGCCTGGCCATACAACAACGGACATTACGTACCAACGTTATTTACCAGGTGTGGGTGACAGCTGTCAATATATTCTTTTGTGCAATACGCTAATATAAAAGTGAAACCAGTGTTTGTTGATTAGTTTTCATGAATGGAAACTGTTGGAATGCCGGTGTAGTGGTTTATTAATATTAGCTATAACCATTTAGTTAAGCTGTAAAGTTGAAGTGACAAATTGCCGCAAAGTTTACGCAAAACGAAAAATAATAATAATAACCAATAGTATATACATACATACATACTTAACATAAGTTCAACAAACAAAAGGGCAGCGGAATTTAAGGTGAGTGTTACAACACTTTTTTAATTATATTATATTATATTATACTTATTATATATGTGGGTATGAAAATTTGTACATACATACATATGTACATATAAGAATTATGAACTGTTTTTGTTTTTGACAATTGTTACTAATTTAACTACCATAATCAATAATGTTATTGGTATTGAGCGAGTTAGATGTTGACGTAAAAAGCTGATGGTTTTAACCTGATTAGTTGGTTGAAAGGGCGTTGCAAGGTTTTAAACCATTATTAAGTTCATTGTAGTCTCCAATTGTACTCCAATTAAATATCGTTGAAGTGAGTTTTTCCAACTTTACTGCCAAATTTCTTTTAGTTTCGAATAGTGAATAGAATTGTAATAAGATTTAGCAAACTTGATCCTTTTTTTCTGCTGTCTCCGTAAATATGTTACTAATGTGTGTTTTGCATTCATTGTGTCACCATAAAAATTATTAACTTAAATTAAATGCAACAATTAGTTTCTAGCATTAGAGTACTATATTCATATGTACAAATTCTAATTCAGTTTGCAATTTCGTTGACTCATCAAGCATAAACAGTATATGTAATTTTTTATTTTTTCTAAGGAATTAGATATCAGTTATCTTGAATGTTAAAGAAATTGGTTTCAGAAAAATATTACGAAATTTATTAATATTTAAATTATATAAATATTTCTATTGTCGGTTGTGTTTGGCTTAATTTTTCTTATTATAAGTACATATGTTTGCATGGAAGTGCTATGTATATAAATAAATTATTATAAATAGGTACGTACATATTCATTTCAAGACATCATAGTTTTACACTTTATTACTGTGAACTTAAGTTGCTGCCAATAATTTAATTGTGGACTTGTTGCTTTTTACACAATGTGAGCACCAACGCCGTTGCCGAAGTGGCGGAAATGTATGCAATTATCACAGAGCCCAGCGGGCAATTGAGTGTGACATATTTAATTGATGCTGTCATTGAAGCGTTGATCATTTGATATTTAGTTGTAATTTATTGGATTTATCGGCGCTTTGCGTGCTAATGTAATTAAAATTCATTATCTTAACTAAATAATTTTAGACGGAATTAATATTATTTTTCGAAGTTTAATTTTAATAAAATAGAACGATTTTTTTACTTCTATGGTTAAGAGTGCCGTTTTACTTTTGGTAATGCGCCCAAATGTAGACACATTTTTTCTTTTTTGTCAAATTTAATCAATGTTGTTAGGAAAACTTAACTGTTTCAGTACTGTTACGTATGTATTAACGCTTTTAAAATATATTACTTTATAATCATTTAAACTTTATATTTGCAAAAAAAAGTATAATTCTGGTGGCAACATGCTTCATACGCAAAAATATCAGTCGAAATTGGTCGAGCCGATCATTGAAAGAAATTGACAGCCTATGTTGTCAGTTTAATGTACTTTTTTCTTTACTTTACTTCATGTCTTTAACAGGGGGGTTTCCGCTACTCGCTTGCGTCAAAGTTTTTGCAACACGCTTTCACCACCCTCATTGATTTACATTGCTTCTCAAATCCTTGCAGTTTTCATTAAGAAGAACCGCATTTTGCACACGAAACCACTTTTCTAATATTTCCAAGTTTTTTTTTTTGTAAATCCATTTTAAACACATTTAAACTACAGTAAAAATTAACAATCCGGTTTAACTTTGATCATATAGCACATAAGGTGTAGGTTTTTTATAAAATTTTAGCATAGTTTTAGGCGCATTTTTTTTATTATACAAAAACTAAAGAGTTTCGTTCTGTCTTGGCATGTGATAGAACCAAACATACCATATGTATGGTAGGTCCAAAGAAGAAGAGTTAAAATCGACAATTTCGCGCCACTCGGTCAAAGCTCTCTAAACTACCTACCAAATTACACTTTTCATACCCTGAACTAAGTTCACCACGAAGTTTGTAACACTCAAAAAAAAAACGTCGGGAGGCTCTATAAAGTATATATATAAAAGAAGAGCGTGACGAGCTAAATCGATTGAGCCATGTCCATCTGTCTGCATATATGTATACGAACTAGTCACCTATTTTATATATATATATCGATCTGAAATGTTATACACATCATTTTCTTACCAAGAAGCTGCTCATTTGTCGGAACCGCCGATATCGGATCACTGTAGCATATAGCTGCCACACAAACTGATCAATCAAACTCAAGTTCTTGTATGGAAAACTTTTTTATTTGACAAGATATCTTCACGAAATTATCACGGCATTAATATAGTCGAAAGCAAAGCTAAATTATGCAAACAAATTGTTCTGATCAGATCATTTTATTTATGAAGGATAGTATCGTTTCTATTATATAGCTTGTTTTTAGCATTTCTTGCTTCTGGTTTTGCTATTCATCTGACAACCATTCAATTACTACCATGACTGCTTATTGTTTGATTAAGATTTAATAGCTAAGTACATACTACACACATACATATAAATTTCCGCAGATAAACTGATAACGGCAATGAATGCCAAAAATGAGTGCTATGATTTATTTTTTATCACTACCAGCTAGCTATCCAAATATACATATGTATATAAATGTATAAATATTTGTTCATATGTACATATATGTATATGGATTTACACTGGCGCCTTCAGTGTGCAGCTACTAACTGTTTACACTTTCGCACCGCTAAACAAGCTGATATGCGAATATATTTCGCTAAAACACTTTTCATATATTCATGTGCATATGTATATATCTAAGTTTATATGTACATAGGCAGACAGTCAACAATGCGCTCCCCACATTTTTGCGCTTTCGATTAGTATTTTCTACACGCCAGCCAGTCAGCCAGGCAGCTACATATAATATCTAGCTAGCGGCTGCCTAGCGAACGGGCAAACGCAATGCGACTGCCATTAATTGGCCGTATCGGAATGCTGGCGTTTTGGGCCGGCTTTTGTGCTACATTGTTAAACATATTCATATTTTGCTCGCCATATTCTAGCGCATTTTTGCCTAAACTTGTTGCTGCTGGCTGCCAAAATGAAGCGGCTGGTATTTTTTGGCGGTCTGTTAATACACACTTACAAATGCACAAATGTTGTTGCTGTACGTGCTTGGTCTAACGCCTTGGTTTTCTTATTAAAATATTATTGTTTAATATAAAATTTAATTATATCCAAGTAATTCGCATTCCAGACCAACTACGAGATCCATTAATGATCGCAAACGCGTTTCACGTTTAATAAAAATATTGTTTGAAAATAAAAATTTTAAAAATTAATGTATAAGTATACCAGTATTTGCTGAATTCTATATTCGAAATACATACATACATATATGCGTACAAATATATATGCATATATACGCACTTATGGCATTTATTTTACATAGAGTCGAGCTCTGCATATGTATAAGTATGTCCGGTGTTTGGAACTTCTTTCCACTCTATTTCTGAACTTTTATTAATCATGTGCGCTCACATACATGCAAACATATACTGTTAAAGTACATACTTACGTATGTTTGTACTCTATGCATATAAGTATTTAAATAACCTCTGCGTTTTTATTCTTCTGCACCGCTGATAAGCTTCGTAAATAAAGCTTTTATATCGGATTTAACTTTCAACAATTATATTACATATTTTTATAAATGAAATAAATAAATATTAAAAGTTTAATAAATCAAAAAAAAATATTGTTATAGCGACATATGTATATTAGTGCTCGGAAGACATGCTGATTTCTTTGCTTTTATTTATTTCAAAAAAAATCTTGTTACTGTTGGTGTTGTAGTGGCTGGAAACTTTCGGAAATAATTTCAGGTATGCTGTCGATTTTATAATCAACATTTAACTTTTTTTGTTTTGTATTGCGTTCCATCAGAGAATGGAATTGGTGAGTCACTATTGATATGTGTGGCCTGGCGTTGCGCTAATGGAACTCAATTCCTTTCCTATTAGTCAAAGCTAATCGCTTCTGTGCGATTTATTCTTTCGGTTGCTCCAAATGCTGTCCGAATTAAGAGTTTGACCGTAGGGAAGCAGCTTGCACCGGCTCACCGCCTTTTCGACCACGACAGTTTGGATTGTCGTTGTCATAAGTAAACCATTTTTCATCAACAGTAACCGGCCGCTTTAGAAATTAATCGATTTTCTTGCGATTCATCAGCGATTCGCAAATGGTTCAGTACTTGAATGGTTCAGTTTGCGCTAATTCTTGTGGCTTTCACACACAGCTTCTTTTTGTATGCATTTTTCCAATGCTACGAAGATACTTGTAGAGTTATCGACTTGATGTAGGACACAAGACGCGATTTCTCTTAGTATTCAGATTGCCAATAGATAACTGGGTTTTACCCAAATCGGGTCTTTGGTTTTCCTAGGCACTGCTGTTTATAAGGTCTTAACTTGCGTTGAAAGATTTCAGTCAGTTCGGGGAATAAATCTTTGGAGCAGATTGTGTGGTCACCCCTTTTGTGACAAGGTCAAGCTTAAGTTGCAATCAATAGTCAGGCCTTTTTTAAGCTAACTCCTTATAGAAATTCAACTATGTTATGTAATTTATCAGCTCTTTCACTATCATTATTTTAATAGTTAGTTCAGTCGGTCCATCCTATAAACCGGTATATTGCTGCTGGAACTTCCTACAAATCGGTTGATAATTATAGTATAATATTTGGTATGACATACAAAAATATATGCAACAAAAATCAATCTAATTAAATGTTGTTGTAAATACTCATGGAATTCTATTTTTGTGCTATGAAATCATCTTCAGCACCGTTGATAACCTTAGACCCAAGAAAGTAAGAACTGAGACAGAAGCCTAATTACAAATACACACACGCCCATACTTTCGTATACTCGTACAATGCTTACAAATTAAAATTAGTGGCAGTACTTTCCCAGTTGCTCAACTGCACTTTTCCGTTTGGTGTCATAAATCATTTTAGAGGCCTGACAGCGCCTTGGCTCACTGAGCGCACACATACAAAAAAAGAAATATATGTATATGGGTG